AGCTCCTCACCTGCTCCAGAGGGCTCATGAAAACTGAAGCCCGATCCAAGGGAGCCTCGTGATGTATTTGCTGGCCTGATAATCACATGGGGGAGTGAGTCAACTCAGACTCAATAACTCGGTAGGTGGGCAGGGCCCCAAAGGCCTCACTCATCAAACGAAATGGTACATTCCGGAGACATGGGAGATATTTTCTCCTCAACTGTGGCTGACCTTTGTATTTTCTTCGTAGTGATTTTTAAGAATCAGAAGGCTTACATTTTGATGAAGTTAAATTTATAATCTTTTTCTTCTGTAATTTGTGCTTCCAGGTTCTGTTATAGAAATCTTTGCCTAGCTGCATGTTGCGAATATTTTCTCCAATGTTTTCTTTTAGTAGATTTATCATCTTAATTTGTACATCAGTCTAAGATCCATCTGAAGTTATATTTAGTTTAATTTCTGTACAGTGTAAAGGAAAAGTTACATCTTTGGCCATTTGGATATCTAGTTGTTCCAGCACAGTTTGCTGGAAAGACTACTACTTTAATAATTCACCATTAAGAGGATTTTTATAGATACTCTTTATCTAATTTAAAAGTTCTCTTCTACTGTTATCTGATGATAATTTTATTATAAATTGATATTCCATTTTATCATCATAGTTTTGTTTTTCTTCTTCTATGAATGTGGACAATTAAATTGATTTCTTCCTCTAATGTTAAACAACTCTTGTATTCCTGAAGTACCTGATCAAAGTAGATTATCCTTTTTGCATATTATTGAATTAAGTTTGGTAATGTTTGTTTTGGAATTTTGCATCAGGGTTTGAGAGATCGGTCTGAAAAAATTTTCTAACATTCTTATCATGTCAAGGTTATCTTGGACCCATAACACTGTTAGGTTTTTTCCCTTGATGTTTGAGAGGAGTCACTGGTAAAGACATCGGGGACTACGATTTCCTTAGCAACAGAGTTATAATTATGGATCCAATTTCATCAGTAATAATATTTCTTCTTTTGACAGTTTTCACAATTTTTTAAAAAAATGTTGCGTTTTGTGAAATTGCTAAACTTGTCATTATAGATAGATTGTTATACTATCCTTTTTATTTTCTTTCCAATGTCTGCTGGAAAGGTAGTGATATATACCTTCTTTGTTCCGTTACTCTTTTTTTAGTTTTTTGCATTTGCCATTTTACAAATCTTGCTTTTAAAATTGATTATTCATTTATTTTAGTTGAAATAGAGTTGACATGCAAATGTTGCATTAGTTTCTGGTGCACAGGGTAGTGATTTGACAGGTTTTGATACATAAAGACAGGTTGACCACGGGTGTAGCAGCAACCACCTGTCACCATATAGCTATTACCATTCCATTGACCAGCCTGTGCTGTGCACTAGATCCTGTGACTTATATTCATTCTGTGACTGGAAGAATGCACCTCCCACTTCCCTTCATCCATTTTGCCCACCTCTATTCGTGATATGCTTACATTTTGTTTTCTCTCCATTTTTATTCATTAAGAATGCAATTTTCAAGGAAACACATTTAGAATTTGTTAATTTTGTCTTTTGAATATCTACCTCCGCTCTTCTCTTTCTTTTCTTACATTTTTGCCAGGTTTGATATGTTCTCCTTTGTCTAGCTCCTTGAGGTAAATATTTAGATCGTTAGTGTTCTATATTATTTCTTTACTACTATATCCATTTTAAGACTATAAACTTTCCTTTTGGTCCTGTTTTAGCTGCTTCCCACAGTATGAATGCCACACGTTCATGAGCACTCACTTCAAATTATTTCTAGTTTCCATTATAATTTCTTCTTTAATCCACCAGTAATTTAAAGGTTCTTTTTGTTCCAAACAGGAGGGAAATTTTCTAGTTTTATTTTTGTAATTGATGCATTTCTTAATTCCACAATGGTCAAAGAACACATCCTGAATTATTTTAATCTTTTCTGAATTTTTACATGTTGATTTATCATCCAATTTTGGTAAACATTCAACGTGCACTTAAAAAGAATATGTATTCTGCCTTTGTTAGATGCGCTATTCTGTATATATCAACTGGTTCAAGTTTTACCACCAAGATAACCTATATGCTTACTGATTTTTATATGATTGTTCTATTGGCTAGTGAGAAACATGTAATAAAATCTCTCCTAATGAGATACCTCATAATGAGATGAGAAATAATATCTAACTCCCTTATTATTCCTGCCATTCTTCGGCTTTCTACATTCTGATGCCATGTTGTTAGGTGTACAAATACTTTGAATTATGATATCTTCCTGGTAGGTTAACTTCCTTCTCATTATGAAAAGTCTCTTTTCATCTCCAGTAAGGTTTCTCACCTGAAAGTAAATTTTTTGGATATTTGTGTAACTACGCCAGGTTTCTTTTTCTGAGTCAGGATTTTCATGGTATGACTTTTTTTTTTAAGATTTTATTTATTTATATGAGAGAGAGCATGAACGAGGAGAAGGTCAGAGAGAGAAGCAGACTCCCCGTGGAGCTGGGATCCTGATGCGGGACCCAATCCTTTTCACATGCCTGTGAAACCATCACCCAAATCAAGTCCGTGAACATATTCATCAGGTCTAGAGATTTCCAAGTGACCCTTCATAATTTCTTTTGTAATTCCTCTCTCCCATCTCCATCTCTCCTCCTAGCATCTGCAGGTAACCACTAAGCTGCTTTCTGGTACTTTTGGATCAGTTTGCATGTCCTAGAATTTTATAAATTGAAATCATACAGCAAGTGATTTTTTTTTGGTTTGGCTTCTTTCGGTCAGCATATTGTTTGAGTGATTTATCCACATTATTGAGTCAATGGTTTATCTCTTTATATTGCCTGGACATATTTATTCTATGGACATACCACAACTTGTTTATCCATTTGTTGACAGGCATTTGAATTGAATTCATTTAGTTCAAAATATTTTAAATTTCTCTTGAGACTTCTTCTTTGACCCATAAGGAAGTTAGAAGTATGTTATTGAATCGCCAAGTGTTTGAGGATTGTTTTTTCTAGCTATCTTTCTGTTACTGATTTCTAGTTTAATTTCATTGAGATCTGAGAGCATACACTGTATAGACTTGTATTCTTTTAAATATGTGTATTGAGGTACTGTGGCCCAGAATATGTCTATTTGGTGAATGGTTCATGCAAGCTTGAGAAGAATGTGCATTCTGTCTGTTGGATAAGATATTCTATAAATGTCAGTTAGATCCATTAAGTGTGGATTGGTGCTATTCACTAAGCTGTGTCCTGAATTTCTGCCTACTGGATTGCCCATTAATGATAAGGGGTACTGAAATCTACAACAATAATGGAGGATTCATCTATTTCCCCTTGCAGTTCTATCAGTTTTTGCTGTGTGATGCTCTGTGGCAAGGCACATGCACATTAAGGATTGTTACGTCTTCCTGGAAAATTGATCCATTTAGAAGTCTATAATGCCCCCTTTATCTCTGTGATGATCATGGTGGTCACCATGAGAGCCGAGTTCTGGGATACCCTTTGTACAGCTACCTTCTGCTGTGCTTTGAGCATCTCCAAGGCTGCCAAATATTATCAAACTGCACACTTTAAATAAGAGCAGTTTTTTGGATATCAATGATACCATAGTAAAGCTATTACGAAGAAAAATATTTTAAAATAAAACGTAATGTATTTTAAAATCATCGAGGGTCACATGGACATTTTATACTCCAGGTATGTTACAAATTAAAATTTTTTTTTAAAAAATTGAACTAAAAAAAATTTTTTTTTTAATTGAAGGGGAAGTGTTTTGTCCTCAGACAAATGAACCCATCTTTAGCACTTCTGTGACACTTTAGATATGATTTATACCAGAAATATAGAAAGCATAAAACATCGTGGGGGCACCTGGCTGGCTCAACTGGTGGAGCATGCGACTCTTAATCTTGGGGTTGTGAGTTCGAGTCCCACATTGGGTGTAGAGCCTACAAAACATAAAATTAAAAAAAAATTTTAAATATGAAATAGTGTGATTTCTGGACTCAACATTAGTGTCATGAAGATAGAAATGACTTTCAAAAGATTTCTGGGGTATTTCCAGATGATCATGGATTTCTCCTTTCAAGTAAATTGACACAGAATTTTGTATTTCAATTCCATTCTGGCAGAGCTTTTCCCATAGCACTTGAACATTTTCAAGGGGAAAAAGGGGGAGATATTGGTCAAAGAGCACAACCTTACAGTTAGAAGATGAACAAGTTCTAGCAATGTAATGCACAGCATTGTGATTACATTACTTGAAAGTGGCTAAGGGAGTAGATGTTAAATGTCCTCACCACTAAAAAGAGATGGCGATGATGTGTGACACAATAGAGTCATTAGCTAAGGCCACCATACTAGTTAGCTAACTACCACCATTGGGTTGTATCCTATTGCAATATCTAAGTGTATCAAATCAACATAGTATAGACCTTAAAGTTACCCCAAGCTAATGTTAATTATATCTGAATAAAGTTGAGGGAAAAACATACATTTGCAAGGATACTGGCCTCTACCTTCTTCATTTATATTGGCAGTTTAGCCAAGAAAGCTTTGATTTTTTCAGTAGCTCCTTAGCAATAAGTTCAGGACCTTACATGCAAACATATATCACATTCAGATGGTTAAGTATCTTTGGAATGAGCCACGCCATGAATAAAGTCCTCTTTTTCAAAATGTTCCAGGGTAGGTTTGCTTTTTCTTGAAAAAAATAAACAAATAAATAAAAGTTATTTATCAAAATCGGTACTAAAGTTTGCCTTGTCAAAAGCCAGAGAACTTCTGTATGATAGAGGAGATTTTTTTATTTTCCAAAAAAGTATTTTTTATTTTTTAAAAGATTTTATTTGTTTATTTGGCAGACAGACAGCCCGATGCTGGGCTCAATCCCAGGACCCCGAGATCATGATCTGAGCCAAAGGCAGAGGCCTAACCCACTGAGCCACCCAGACGCCCCTCCACAAAAATATTTTTTAAATGTGATGATTTAGAAACTTACTTTGGATAAAGTTGATGACTCTTTCGGCTGATGACAGAATTTCTTTCAGAGTTGTTTGAATAGTCTGTTGTCTGTTGTGCATGTCTGTCCTAAAAATCGAGTGAGGAGATTCATTTCTCAAAGAAGTAGGAAAACCAAATGGTCACCAAGCATTGTAGGAGTTCCATCTGTGAAAAGGGAAGAGAAGCTTTTGTTTCAAAGTTCTGCATGATGGGGTGCCTGGGTGGCTCAGTGGGTTAAGCCTCTGACTTCGGGTCAGGTCATGATCTCGGGGTCCTTGGATCAAGTCCCACATTGGGCTCTCTGCTCAGCAGGGAGCCTGCTTCCCCCTCTCTCTCTGCCTGCCTCTCTGCCTACTTGTGATCTTTGTCTGTCAAATAAATAAATAAATAAGATCTTAAAAAAAAAAAAGTCTTGCATGATAAAACCACCTTTTTACCATTGCCAAAAAGTCACTGATTTTTGCAATTTCCCAAAGTGACTCATGATGTAAGAATTCTTTGACAGCTTCAGCATGCACAGGGCAAGCAAAACCAAAAGGAAAAGGCAAACTGGCAACACTGAAAAAGGTTCCTTTAGTTTCATCCATTGTAAAATGAAGGAGTATGGCAAATGTGCCAATTCCTCACATGACTGCTTCAAATTTTTAAAGAAATATCAAGTATCCTATTTGAGAAGGAAAATGTAGTATGGATTTTTTTTCCTTTGTTGCAGTCCACAAATCAGTGCCAACATGGTTCACTAAAGTTTATCCAATATAAGTGGAGCTTTTTTTCATCCAACAAGCTGGTAAGAAAATGTATGGAAGCCCCAAGAAAACGGTTTTGTAAAATGGCATAGCTCCATTTAGAAATGTGCCAATTCTTTTTTTTTTTTAAGATTTTTTTATTTACTCATTGGGAAAAGAGAGAGTAGGCATGGGGGTGGGGGGCAGAGGGAGAGGGAAAAGCAGACTCTCTACTGGTCAGGGAGCCTGATGCAGGGTTTGAACCCAGGACCCCGAGATAATGACCCCAGCCAAAGGCAGATGCCCAACCTACTGAGCCACCCATGTGCCCCAGAAACATGCTAACTTTTTCTTTTCTTTTCTTTTTTAAAAGATTTTATTTATTTGACAGAGAGATTACAAGTAGGGAGAGAGGCAGGCAGAAAGAGACGGGGGAAGCAGGCTCCCTGCTGAGCAGGGAGCCCAATGTGGGTCTCGATCCCAGGACCCTGAGATCATGGCCTGAGTCAAAGGCAGAGGCTTAACCCACTGAGCTACCCAGGTGCCCCCGTGCTAAGTTTTTCAAACTGAGCTTTCTTATTGGGAGAAAATCCTAATTTTCTGGACAGACAGAAGTAAGATGCACTTTCATTTTATCTGGCTTCACACTTGCATTCATGAGAATATTTACACACACACACACACACACACACACACACCCCACTGTGGCCTTTGTGTTCTAGTAAGTTCAAAGATGCAAATGAAAACAACTAATTGCTGTTCTTTCACTTCTATTAGTAATAGCCTTGGGTACTGCTAACATTTTGCAGTTTTTTGCCAACATTAAATATGGAAGGAAATGATAAATCTCCTTTAGACTGTAGGATCCAAGAGCAGGCCACCCCAAGATGGGCTACTTTGGCATGAAGATTATTTTGAGTCAAAAAGCAATCCATCAGTGGCTCCTGGGTGGCTCAGTTAACTTCTGCCTTTGGCTCAGGTTATGATCTCAGGGTTCTGGGACCTTCGAGCTCTGTCTCAGGCTCCCTGCTCGGTGGGGAGTCTGCTTCTCCCTCTCCTTCTGCTCCTCCCCCCAATTCTACTCTCTCTCAAAAAAATAAATAAAACCTAAATTTAGAAAAGCAATAAATTACAAGCCAGCAGATTCAGGAAAAGTTCTTTACCTACCCCTCAACTGCCTAAAAAAATTTAGATGCAGGACCTGCTCTAGGAAGAGAGCTATCAGTGTAGATAAAATTACAGTATGGGGGCGCCTGGGTGGCTCAGTGGGTTAAAGCCTCTGCTTTCGGCTCAGGTCAGGATCCCAGGGTCATGGGATCGAGCCCCGCATCGGGCTCTCTGCTCAGCGGGGAGCCTGCTTCCCCCTCTCTCTGCCTGCCTCTGCCTACTTGTGATCTCTGTCTGTCAAATAAATAAAATCTTTAAAAAAAATTACAGTATGATAAGAACTAGGTATGGTAGATGGGGAGGAACCTAGCCCTCTATATTCCACGGTTTCTGAGTAGCCCAGCAAACCTCTGTTTACCAAATATTTACTCTTCATTTTTTAGGTTCCAGTAAATTGCATTCCTTTCCTCTGAAGTCCCAGACCCCTACACTCTTCTCCTTAGTTTGGGTGGACATATGTACCTCATTTTGCCTGCCTGTCTTTGGGATTTCCATGTCTGAGTGTATTCCCCATATGTATGCTATTAAATTTGATTTTTCTCCTGTTTATATGTTTCATGTCAATTTGATTCTTAGTTGGGCCAAAAGGACCTTGAAAGGGACAGAAATTCTTGCTCCCTGACAAGAGGTTAATGAAAAATATTAAAATTTTCTATCAAGGTTCATAGAACCCATGAAACTAAGAGGACACTAGACCCCATATTAATAAATTTTGTTCAGGAATGAAGGTAAGGTACTAACAAAAATCTCTTACTCACGTGTATAAGATCAGTCCATAAACTGTTCTGAAAGGGTTCTTTTTTTTTAAACTTTTCATTAAGCACTGGGACTTTTCATCTAAAGCATTAGATTATCAGCAATATTGTGAATGAAGTCAGAATTTTAGTGACATTGATCTATACTCGAACCACATCTGGGCTTCTTGATAGACCCTGCACCACCAGGGTGTTGTGAGGGCTCTGTGAAATGATCTAAGTAGAAGGGGCTGGCCTCGTGTATAGCACATAGCAAGCACTCGATAAATGTTGGTTTTGTTCTTCTTTCCTTTACCTCTTTTCCCACCAATTGGATATGTGAGGGTGATTTCCCTGGGACCCGCAAACAGGCTCCTCTCCACCAGATTTTTGAAACAATCATTATCTCACACTCTAGTCCCCATACACACTCTGGAAAGCCACTGCTTGGGAGCCCAGGAACAAAGTAGCCAGCTTCTGACTCTGTGCCAAGGTCCATGTCCCCCCCAAAAAAAAAAAAATGGGCAGAATTTAGAAGCACAAGTTAAGAGGTTGCTCATCTGTGGTATCATCAAGATCTCAGTTACCCACCCTGAAGCCAAGAGAGACCGTGAATATGAGGACACAATGTTCTGCTTTCTCCTCCTCAAAGCAGGGCAAATGGCATCTATGCTGAGCAGGTGGCTGTCTTGTCACGGAGTGCCTTAATTTGGGACTCTGTATCAGTGGGAGAGTGGAGAGTGGTATCATGTGAGGTTTATCCTTCATCCATTCCCTCCTTCGTTGAGCCGTCATGGTTCAGCACATCATGATGTGCCAAGCAAACTGCTAGGTCAGGAGAACAGAACTTAGTACCCATCCTCATTATTCACATTATGAAACCTTGGAATGTTGAAGTTGTGGGACCATAAGAATGGTTGACGTCTAACATCACAGATAAATGGCTCGCTAAAGATGCCATGAATTACACAGTAATCCACCAAAGGTCTCCAGACTCCTAGGGAAATCCTCTGTCCATTGTACCACACTGCTCCTAGTGGGTTCTAATAGTTATTCTTTCCTATGTCATGAAGAAAGGAATTGTTTTCAAGAGAAAATCTGACAGATGAGGTACTGGGAGAAGATGAGGAGAAAGTCAGAGGATCCCAGTCTTTGGGCAGAATTGCAAAATTTCACAATCCTCACTGGAAAGAATCTAGTAGAAAAGAGATTCAAAAACTCAGGGGGCCTTTCAGAAAGCATCTGCCAAGGAAGAGTAGACACTGAAAACCAACTGCAGCTTAACCTAGAATGTACTTCCTTGCTTCCTTGGCTATGATGTTAGAGTCATTCTCTTTAAATAGATAAAGCAGAGGAAATGGGTGGCAAATAAAATGCTCTGATAGCCTTGTAAACCCAAGCACCAAAGGCTCAGGGTTTTGCCTTCTTGATAAGCCTTTGGAAAGTCCTGAAAAATACCATCCGGTTTCTAAGATGCTCTCTATGGAACCAATTCCCTGTCTAAGGCGTTTGGCCCTCTTCTTAGGCAAAGATGGGCTCCATCATATTGAGTGGTCATAGAAAAAGAACACTGTAAATTCTGTGCCATTTGTACTAAGACCTATGTCATCCAGTCTTCACCTGATGTCTAAAAATGTCAGACTTGATTTTTTTTAAAGATTTATTTGACAGAGAGAGGCACAGTGGGAGAGTCAACAGAAGCAATGGGAGAGGGAGATGGAGAAGCAGGCTTCCTGCTGAGCAGGGAGCCCGATGCAGGGCTTGATCCCAGGACCCTGGGATCATGACCTGAGCCGAAGGCAGATGCTTAATGACTGAGCCACCCAGGTGCCCCTTGATATGTTTTAATGAACATATTGTTCCTACAAGAAAGAACATGTCATTAAATTAGCTCTGTATGGAAGATTCCTAATATTTCTAGCCAAGGTGCTACCAGCTCACAGGCAGGTTTAGGAACCCGAGAATGCCAAGACTGGCTATGGTTTCCCGCCACTTTACCTGTGGTGAACCTTTACTGAGTTAACTTTCTTAGAGTCATAACTAAATCATAGAAAAACCAGCTGGTTCACAACTTGGTAAAGATCGTGTTGTGTGATAATCCTAAGGGGGACTTCATAGTCCTACAGAATAAACAGTTTCTGGCTGCGGAGAACAGATTTCTGCTAAGGTGAAGGGGTCCTGGGCTGAGAATCAGAAGTTCTAGGTTGAAGGCCCAGCTTGATCATAGATTATACACCTTTTTATCCCTTTCACTCTGCTGTTTCTCCCCCAAAGGGTAAGGAGCTACATGAACTTTCCTGACTTATACATTGTTCTACTTTCACACATGGGACTGTGCCTGGCACACAACAGTTCCCAGTAAATGTTTGCTGAATGTATAAATAAATCTCCAAGAGGCAGGGCACCTGGGGGGCTTAGTTAGTTAAGCATCTGCCTTGGGCTCAAGTGTCATGATGCTGGGTTCCTGG